CTAGTTCTCCCTTTCTTAATAAGTCATTGCCTCGTCCGGGACACTCCCATTGTACACAGACGCTTTCTCTCCTTCTTTCCTTATAAAGATGTTGAGTGGATGAGGTGAGGTCGCTCTCCTGGAGCCTTTTATGATGTGTCATGCACACTCATGCCTGTGACGAGCTTTCTGTGTGGAATAATGCAAGTGTCAAAGAAAATATGTGCTTTGCTGCTTCTCTGCCTGTGAGCTACCTTAACAAATAATATTTAACATTTTCACTGGGTGATGTGAGGAATGTGTGTGTCCTTTTCACCTGTGCATTACAGAAAGAGAATAAATTTGGTTTCTGTAATATTTTATTCATTCCTATTACTCTCAGTAGTAGGAGTATTTTTATTTTAACATGATCAACTGGCATTTTAAAAAGATATGGCTGGGTGTGGTGGCTCACTCCTGTAATCCCAGCACTTTGGTAGGCCACGGTGGGCCGATCATTTGAGGTCAGGAGTTCGAGACCAGCCTGACCAACATGGTGAAACACTGTTGGAGTATTATAAATTTAGGAAGACAAGTGTGATCCAGGATTGGCAGTGTTGGTGTGTTAAAAAAATAATAATAATTAAATTACTATGATTGAGAGTAGTTTGGGGATAACTGTGAAAAACAAATCTTGGTTGATTTCTGGTATATAAATTCTTTTCATATTCCCTTACCTCATGCTTTTTATCAAATTTATTCTCACAATATCTAGTAAAATATTTTTGCTGATTTTGATGCTTGATAGGTATCAAAACATGGATGTTTCCTACATAAAACCAAACATTCACACTTTCAGGCAGAACTCATTAGGCAATTAGTCCTTTATTTGTAAAGCTATATTTATTTGGTTCAAAGGTTTACGTTTTTCACTGAATCCACAAGACAATTCTATTTCCCTCTAATTTTAATCTGTTTCTCTTTCTTACAAAATGTATCTGTTGAAGAACTGTGCTGCAGTTGCCCCCACGGTCTGAGCTCTGCTGACTGCATATTTATGGTGCAGCTCAACGTGATCTTCTGTCTCCTGTCCTGCCATTTCTACTCATTGGCAGCTGGGTCCAGAGAATGAATCATACTTAAGTTTGGTCTTTTTAAAAACCTGTAAGTAGGGTATAGCAAGGCTACAAAAAGCACATAATTTTGCCATGTCTTTATGTGATCTTAACAGCCATTGAATCACAATACCTAAGTTTAATCATCTGTTAGGGGTTAAAATTATGAGATTCTAATGAAATTATTTTATTTTTATGTGTTTGTTAGAATATTTTTATTAAAAAAAAATATCTCATCCAGTATTTTGTTACCCATATCGAGTTAATAGAAAAATGCAGGCTACCTGCTTACTTTTTCACCTTTCCTAAACAATTTTAATAACAATGGATTCAGTTCTATTGATAATCTGAAAGTAGGCAATTCTTTTTTGATATCATTATGTACTTATAGATATAAATAAGTTTGATCTGATCAATTCATTGCAATTATTAAAATTATTGAAGTTCAAATGCTGTCATTTTGGTTAGTGGAAACCCCACCAAATTCCTGAAGAATTTTTTAAATCAATCAGTCTTTGACAGCTTATTTGCTAACTGACATGACAATATTTGCTAGGCTCCACCTGCCTGTTTCCTGTCTGAGACCTGGAATCAGTGATGTCTTCAGCAAATCTAGTTTTCTGGGAGTGAGAAGTGACATTTCAAGACCACAATCTAGGTCTTATTGCTGCTGCATTAGTCATTGTTTCTAGGTATTTATAGTGGAAAAGAGTAGAAAATACTTCCAGGCAGGAATTATATATACCCCAGATCTCTCCACTATAAAAGATGAGAAACAGTGACCCACACAGCGGCAATTTTCTGTTCACATTGATACTTGCAGTCAAATTTCCAAGACTAAAGTGCTTTAAACTAAACTATTCTCTATTGCATTTGCATTTTCATGTCCCTTATTCCATATTAAGAATTATTTTTCTCAAGGACACAGAATATGATAAATCAGAGCTGCCACTAATTATTCATTTTTAAATTATTTTTAGATTACTAGCACTATCACCATTGTGATTACTAAACTCAAATAAATTAAAGCTAAAAAAGCTTTCTTGAAATATGCCGTATTCTAAAAAGTACAGGAAAACTAATTTCACATGAAAATAATAGCAATGTATAAAGGGCAAATTCTATGCGATGCTATAAGAGAATAAGGAACATAACTATATAAATCCACACATACACAAAATATAAATCTGAAACCTAGCCTCATTTTAATTAGCCTTACTTTCTCCTAATGCCAAGGAAAAGAAGACAAGGATTCCAACTATTAATTTACTGTACTCAAGTGGTAAACCAATGATATTAGACTACAAAAATAAAGTTATGTTAACTGGAAAGGTTGTTAAAACTAATGCTTATTAGTTTAATCTAATTATCTATTGAGAAATATTAAAAAATTAATTTTAAAACTATGATAGAATTATTCAACAATAACAGTAATAATGGAATTCAGGTAACAGAGTATAATATTCATATACAAAAACTGTATATGCATATTATATATGTTTAAAGATGACCTGATTATTATGATTAACTGATACATCCCTTTCTGCCATAAACAGCTTGAAAACTGTAAAAATACACAATACAGTGGTTTTTAGCCACTGAAAATAAACAGCATAGAGAACTGTGATCTGTAACAAAACACAGACAGGCAAAGTAAGCCCTACCTTTCTTTAAAGACTGCAGTGCAGGGAGAGAACACAAATCTCAAATTTAGAATTTAGAAGTTGAGTTTAAGGGGTACTCTTTAAATAGAGCAAAAACGCTAATTTAAGTTGAGGAAACAATTACCTAAATTCAAGAAGAGTGAGGGGCCTGAAATTTACAAAACAAAATACTTTTTAAAAGTCTAAAAATACTACATTAGAGTCCTTTTGAGTCTAGCTGAATACCAAGCAGCTCTGATGAAAAATAAAACTGCGTGAGTACTGACAAAGGATTACCGCCAGGGATATGCGTTAATTTACAGAGCTCATACAGGGTTCAGGTGCTTTTACGTTCCCATCGTCCAGAGTAGAAAAGCCTTATTGAACCCCTGAGAATGCATTAGAGATTTAAGAATCATTATACCTTACTAACTAAAACTACTCTAGATCCAGTATAGCAAATTTAAACACAGGTCTTTAAGACAAAGATGATACACAAATGATTGCTGGTTCAACCAACTTCATCATCATTAAACGGAGACTAAAATAATCCTGATATTTAACGTCATAAAATTCAAAATGCCTAGCATCCAAGAAAAAGTTATTAGAAATCTGAAGAAGCAGGAAAATACGCCATCATTAGTAGAAAAATCACTCAATAAGAGCAGACCCAGAATTAAAGATGAATTTTCAGAACAGGCTTCAAAGCAGCTATTATAAATATTTTTAAGTATTTGAATATGAAGCCAACAAGAGTATAATAAGGACAGAAATGCAAACTATAAAAATGGAACTTATGCAGCTGAAATGAATATTTTACCATATGAGTTTAACAGCAGACTAGCGATTAGAGAAGAAAAGATTAATGAACTTGAAGACATAGGAATTGAAACTGTCTAACCTGAGAAAGAGACAGAAAAGGGGCTGAAAAAATGGAATAGTTGCTTAGTGACCAGTGGAACAGTGTTAAGTCAAAAATATTTTAGGGAATGTCTGAAGATAGGAGATAGAGAAGCAAAAAAGGGAGAACTAGTGCTTTAAATTTTTCAACTTCAATAAATACGAAAGCCCACAAGATCAGGAAGCTCAGCAAATTTCAAGTAGAACAAATACCATTTATATCTTAATCAAAGTTTTAAAAACAGATATAAAAACATTTGAAAAGTAGCCACAGAAGAAGAAAGACATATTAAAATATAGAAAACTAGCACTGATTTCTCAACAGAAATAATGGAGGTCAGAAAACAAAAATGTAACATCTTTCAAAGTCCTAAAGAAAAGAAAAATCAACCTAGAATTATTTCTGGTGAAAATGTTGGAGTTGTCAACATTTTTTTTTTAAATAAGGGAATTAAAAAATATAAAAACTACCATCTCTACTTAATCCATTTCATTATAAAGAACATTTTTACATTATAAAGAACACTTTAACAACAAAAAAGTCAGGAGAGCAAATTCAAAATAGCAAAGTCCTTTATATCAAAAGAATTAAAATAAAGCTGTAAGAAAAAAAATCTTTTCATATTATTTTTCTCCATTTCATCACAGACTGATAAAAATTCAAAGAAAATCTAAAATCATTATATGAATCTTTGCTTAAAACTTTATTTATTTGTTTGTTTGTTTGCTTACTTGCTTGTTTGAGACAGGGTCATGCTCTGCTGCCCAGGCTGGAATAAAGTAACAAGCATGATCTCAGCTCACTGCAACCTACGCCTCCCAGGCTCAACTGACTCTCGTGGCTCTGCCTCCTGAGGGGATTATAGCTGTACACCACCATGCCCGGGTAATTGTATTTTTAGTAGAGATGGGGTCTCACCATGTTCCCCAGGCTGGTCTTAAACTCCTGAGTTCAGGCAATCTGACCACCTTGGCCTCTCAAAGTGCTAGGATTACAGGCATGAGTTACTGTGCCCAGCCTAAAACTATTGAACTAAATGCTTTCTCCTATCTTTTTTAACCATAAAATTCTGATCTACTTCTTATTTTTTTACAATATGTTGAGCCAACATAATTAACATTGCATAATCTCATATCAGTTAAATGTGATTTACTTATGTAATAATAACCATAAGAAAAATACTTTTTTAAGAACTGGGGAAAATATCTCCTAATGTTTGATGTAATATTTTCCCATAACACATTTTAACACGTAGTCCACATGTTTTAAAACTTTTTGAAAAGTTCCTGTGGGAAATGACAGTGTTATTTGGGTCTATTAAAGCATCATTCTGGTTGCACAAACTTGAACTAGAAGTTGCGCTGTGGTAATACTAGTCTTTATCTTGGAGACAAGAGCCATTTTGCAAATTTGTGGTATCATTTCCCTAAACAACTCAGGACCAAATTGTGCTTCATTTCCTCAGTTCTGCATTTCTGCAGAGGCAGAAAGAAACACAGCTCTCGACTTGTTTTTTGTAAACATTACTGAAAGAGTTGTGATAACTTTTTATTCTACCATGTATACATATGGAATAGCATTAACAAGTGAAATAGAGAAGGATGTAATAAATTAGACATTTCTTCATTTTAGAAAGAAGATGGGAACAACATTGCTTTTCTTTTCTCAATTAAATATGTGTGAATCAAAAGAAAAAGCTTTTTTCAAGTTAATGCATGGTTCAGGAAAAGAAGAAACAAGCAAAGAAGCCAAAATCAGGTAAAATTATAAAATTTTAAGTTAGCCTTATATTTTTAAAAGTATAATTGAGGTTGAATATTCATTACCACTTGTTTTTAAACTATTGGGTTGAAAATATATTGATCATATTGTCATAATTGGTGGAAAATACCTTTTTATTTCTTAGGAGTAAACAACTAACTGTTAAATCTAAAGTGTTTTCATTTAAAAAAAAAAGTAACAATTTTAGCTTCACGAAGGAACTAGTACAATCTTTATTGAAATATAACCTCAAATACTTGATTGTTGGGCAGCAAAAAGAGAAACATTTCCATATGTTACCCTACTTCCTCCATAAATATAGTACTTAAATGGGATCATGGGTGTGTCGGGGTGGGAATAGGTGGGAATGGGTGTTTACGAATTCCAAACTTTCCTGGTAGTCAGCAGGAGAGACTTTAACTGTCATCTAAATTGTCCTGACGCTGGGGCCTTTTTATTACAGAGCTAAGGAAAAAAGAAATAGACTAAGTCTTCTTGTGCAGAAACTTGAGTTTCATGAAGATACCCACTCCAGTAGATCTGGGCACTTGGCCAAAGAAACAAGGTGAATAAACGTTCAGTGTTTTAAGGAAGATTTTGCTGATTCTATCATTAAAGAGTTAAGAAAAGTTCAATTAGGTATTTCTATGTTATTGGAAATTGCACAGAAATATGAAGAAAGTTAGAAATTTCACTTGAAGAAACTAGAAATATTTCATAAAATTAAACCACTTGAATTACTACTTCAATTCAATAATACTATGAACACTTAAAGCTGCTCTTTAAAATTATATACCTGTCAGTTTTAAACGATATATTTTACTCCTTATAACCTGATAAAATACTCATTAAGATTTTCGCAATGCAATATTGTCATAGTGAAGAATATTCATCTCTTTCCTCAGTAGTTTGAAAAAAACACCCACATTATAGCAAGTAAAGCACAAATAAATAATGTCTTTTAATATTTAGCATTTATTTAATTCAGAAAAAAAGCAAAAGCCTTATACACTAGTTTCATACAAATTCTTCTAAATTTGAGTATAATCTAAAAAAGATCCAAGAAAATATATTCAATTCTCCACCTTATCAATATCTCTAAAATATTTCTTGTGTTAAAATATCTTATATTTCTTATCCCTTTGAAACTTTATTAGTCAAACTTCCTGTATCTCTTTAAAAAAAAATTTGTAGCCTAGTGTGGTAAGAGCTTCAAGGAAATTGCAGTATAATCTTTTTTTTTTAACTGAAAGATACTGTTTAGTTTTTCCTACTGCTGAATTTAAAGAGATAGTTGACCTGATTTCTTTATATTTGTTCTCTGTGCCTTTTAACCTAACAAAGGATTAATTTTTAATTAAAAAATAAAACAACTCACATATCCATAAGAAAACATTAATGTTATTTTAGCACATTATTCAACAGACAAATTCCAAAAGAAAACTGAACTTTTCAAAGTTTCTAATGTAAATACAACTTTCGTTATATTATAATCAAAGGAGAAACTGTGAAATATGATTGAAAAGGGCAGTACAATAGCATATGTTAGAACAGATTCAGAAACAGACTTTCTGCGTAGTCCATTATAAAACATTTTGTTTCTTGTACAGAGTCTCCCCTGAAGAAGCAGTGAAATGGGGTGAATCATTTGAAAAACTGCTTTCCCATAGAGGTTAGTGGTACTTTCACCAAATACTTTATTGCTTAATGGAAAACCACACCGACTATGCATGTAATTATACAAAACAAGAGGTGACAAAAATTTTACTAATTGGTAATTTTCAGTAATTTGATTTTCTGATCAACAGAAGTAATTAAATAATAGAAAAGTCAAATCATGGAATTTTTTAAAATTCTCATTTTGTTTAGTATTGCCTACTATGGATAAAATATTAGTTATTTATGCTGTAGTTTCAATTTTTAAATTTTTCTGATTTTTTAATCAAAACTTTGGTTTTATTAAATTCATGATTAACAAATTATTCATGTTAGTTTCATTGTTCAGTGATTAAAAATATAGAGTAATTTTTTGATGGACATTCAGGAAACCCACATAAACAGTTTCAAAAAGTATTTTATAAATTCATTCTGTACTTCATGGCAATTGTCTATTTTTAAGGCAGAATTTTGTAGAAAGGTTGAGAATCGGGCATGTATTTAAGGGGGAGCTTTGTCTACGAGATGGAGGGTGAGGACAAGCTTCAAGGCCTCCTTTGCCTCTGGAACACTATGCTAACACAGCGCGGCCTAGGAGGCAGGCTCCCTGGATTGCCAGTCTTTAGGGTCAGTTTACATAAGGCAGCAAGTGAGTGAACCCTGTTATCTTTACTCATTCTATGCTTTCTTGCAGATATAAACACTGAACTGAGCAGGGGATGGGGCTAGGCAACCACAGGATTTATTATTCTCCACCCTGAACTTGTCAAGAGTCTGCTAAAAAAGCAATGCTTTATCATTACCAAACATCCACTTCAAGCCCACAGCTTTTTTTTTGCACCTTGAACTTGTCCAGTTTCTTCCCTTAGTCTTTGTCTGAAATACAATAATTTCCCAGCTCTTCCAGACCCTTCCAAGATGAGACAAGTCAGACTACTCTAACTGCTCCTTATAGCACTGCCCGTGGCGTTCGCATTTTAAGGTGTTCACTGGAAGAAAGGATTCCTGTTGCCAGGACAGTTGGGAGTGGAATATTTTCTTAATTAGCCTCAAATACTGTGCGCCATTTAATGTAACAACAACTTTTCTTTTCTGACATGTTTTTCTTTCTGTTTTATTCCCCTCCTTAATTGTCCAACTCTTTATAATGCCTTGGTGACCTTTTAATGTTCTCCTGAATTTACTGATATAAGAATTCTACCTCTGTAGATGATCCAATGAAAATAGATGTCTACCTCTGACTTGTAGTATTTATAGGTAGAGAAATCAAGGCTTAAACTTAGGCCAGGATGTCATCAATGAGAATGGAGAGTAGTGATAAGAAAGTTTCTGCTGACAAAGTGTAACTTTTATTCCTCATACTCCACACTTTATTTCCAGTATAGAACAATTCCTCAATTCCTTTTTTTTTTTTTTTTTTTTTTGAGACAGAGTCTTGCTCTGTATCCTAGACTGGAGTGCAGCGGCGTGATCTCGCCTCACGGCAACCTCTGCCTCTTGGGTCAAGGGATTCTCCTGCCTCAGCCTCCAGAGTAGCTGGGATTACAGGCACAAGCCACCACACCTGGCTAATTTTTGTATTTTTAGCATGCTGGTCTTGAACTGCTGACGTCAAATGATCCAACTGTCTCAGCCTCCCAAAGTGCTGGGATTACAGGCATAAACCATCGTGCCCGGCCCCAGTATACAACAATTTCTTAACTATTGTTAAAATTCTTGCCAAATCTATGTCAAACTTGTCTCATACTCACTTTCTTGCTCACACTGTCTTGATTCAGTGTCAGATATGTTCTTAATAGATTAATTACCATGATTTGTGTAAAACTTGCTTCCAAAATTCATGTCCCCCAAATGTGTTTATTTTAAAATCTCCTCTTATAGCCAACATTTTGGTACCACACTGCCCTTAAGCCTCCTTACTAGTCAGAGAAGGAGGAAAAAAAAAGAGGACTGGGATTCAGTTCTTACAATATAAGTATTTACTAGAAGGAACCATATGTCTTTTCATCTGTGGATCCCTAATCCCAGACATCCCCTGAAAAAGAATAAAACTGAATTTGTTTCTACAAGTTAGTCCAGAGTTCCAGTGGAATTCGAGTTTTAGTTTTCTCCTGAAACATAAATGGTTATATAATCTTAGTTAAGCTTCCTAATCACCCTGACTTTCAGCTTCCTCAGCTGTAAATGAAGATAATGTTTCTAGTTCCAACAGAAATAGATTTCTGTCACGATTAAATGAGATGATGAATAAGAAACCAGTAAATCTTAGACACTACACAAACGTCAATGATTGTTGCTATTATAAAAAATAATAATTACTAATCAGTTTAATAATCCTTTTTCTGTTTCAAGTCTACTCACAACTAGATGAGGATCAATTGGAGGGTTAAAATTTCAATTGACAATAACATAGAGACAGGATTTATGTCACTTAATAAATTGGTATATAATAATTTCATCATACTTTCATTACTCATTCAAAACACAGAGAGATTTAACAGGGTAATTAGTGCTACAGAAAAGCCTCACCTAGCATTCTGTAATCTTTCTTCTTTACAAGTAGTAAAAAGCAAAAGGACAAAATCAAATCTGTTATGCTCGCTCTCTTTTCTCTACTGGTAATATTAAAGAGCATTAAACTACCAGCAATTTAAATCAGGAAGAGACATATTTAAAATAATCAGCACTGATCCATTGGATATTATCACCTTTCATGATTACATTGCTAAATATATTATATTGAATTCACAAAATTTATATTACCAGTATTATTTTACTCAATCCTCCCATCCAATTATTTTTAATTATAATGCTTATAATAATATTAAATTATAAAGCTTAAAATAATTACATAAAACAAGCCTTTTGGTTGCAATGCTTAAATTCAGTTTATTTGTATTTATTTGACCCCAGAAGAAAAACGTGTGTGTGAGAGAGTATATATATTTAAAGGGAAAGATCCTACACACACACACACACACACACACACACACACACACACACACACACTTCAAGAAAGACCTTGCTTTATCAAATGTTATAAAATTTCCCTTTGTAACATTTTTCTTTTATAAAATTTTATAAAATTGTGAACTTTTCTCAAAATCTGTATGCTATGTTTATTAAAAGGAAACAAAATTATATTCAGTTTAGTCAAATGGAAAATGAAGTGATAAATCAACCCAGATACATTGGAAATTTGGGTATTCAGTTTGACAAAAACGGTTAATACTAAAACCATCATAAACTGATTATTAGCAGCTTTAGGAATGAAACCACAGGATAGATGGTTTCCACCCTAGATTTTAGGGGAGTAATCAAAGTTCACTAGCTGAATAATAAGAGAAAGAGACTATCCAAACAGAGAATCGGTACAGAAATGGGGTGGTAAACAATGCAATTTACTTAAGGAATTAAAAACAAAATAACTCTTCATTGAAAAATATAATTTGAAAAGGGATGGTGGCTTAGGTTGATAGACAATATGTCCATGAGACCAAAACAGAAAGGTCGCTGATTTTTGCTCTATTCCACAGAAATCAAATGATTCAGGGAGGTGTTCTGATAATTCTATTTTATTCAAATTTTAGTCACATACTTTAACTCTTTTAAAATTAAAAAATGAGTAAAGTAGGAACTTTAGCTAATAATTACGTATCAATGTTGGTTCAGTAATTGCAACAAATGTCCCATACCAATGTAAGATGTTGATAATGGGGAAATTAAATGGGGAGTGTATGACCTTCTTCTAAATCCATACTACCTTCTGCAAAATAGTTCTGTAAATCTAAACATATTGTAGAAAGAAATACTTTAGAAAATGATCTCAAGCATGTTATATAGTAAATTTTCACACAATGAAGTCCACCAATAATTTAAATTCTGTTTCTTATTTGGTTCCATAAAGCTGTTATTAGTCTAATTTTTTTCTGCTATTTCTATTTATTGTCAAATTTGCCTGAAGTTTCAAAATAAATAATAAAAATGTACAGTTTAATACTACATATAGAGAAATAAGTAATTTATAAGGGCTATTTACATTTTAAAAGTAATAGTAAATCAAAAATGAAATATCACACTGTATCTGTTATTTATAATCACAAATTTCCAATTTAGTTTTTATTAGTCTTCTCATTATTGGCTTTATAAGTTAATTTTATCAATTTGAACTTATAAAATCAATTCATGCAGTAAAATACAGATGTATATCATACACTCATATGTGTTTTTATTTGTATACATATATGTATATGGCTCTGTGCAAGGCATCTCTGAAAGCAAAATGATATTGCTGTATAATACATAACTTTGAAAATAACTTGCTAAATAGTTTTAAAACTATTATGCAGAACTTGCAGTATATCATGTGTGCTTTAGAAGATCACTAAACGAGATTAAACACATGTATGCAAGAATTCAACAGGCAAAAGAAAAGCTAATTCCTGAGTTAAAGGCAAGAAGACAGTTAGAGAATAAGAGATTTTGACGTGATCTGGAGAAGCATAAGTTGACTTTGAGGCAAAGAGTAACAAACACATTGTATAATTAAGTTGAGAACAAACTTTGGAAGCCTTTGTGTGTAAAAAGATAACTCTGAAGGTTAGAGTTACACAGTTGTTATATAAAAGCTAAATTCAAAGTAAGGACCACTTTGGGAAAAAAAATGGATAAACTTGGTGACTTAATTAGTGTGTATGTGTGTCATAGAATGAGAAGATGAGGGACTAGGAAACAAAAAATAAGGATGAGCCAAAGATCCCTAGATTTTATTTTCATTATAATAGGAAGACGATGATGCCTGTAATAGATGTGAAATAGAGGTGGATAAACAAGATTTGCAAAAGGAGAACAGGGTAGAGTTTGAACATTTTTTGTCAATGGTAAACCTTATTAAAAGTTTTGCAGGGTTTTGTAAGTGCACACCTAGAATATAGAAGGCTGACTTATAGTTAAGATTTTCTAAGCAGCTCACATAGTTGATAATTCATTATCTGAAGGAGAATGTTATTTCTCATG